TTCTCTAACATGCTGCTAATTATGTAGCTGACCTTTTTGAAAGTATCCCCCCACCTGAGGTGGAACTAGCAGTGCTACACTTACCACATCTTTCACATTTAATTTATTTTAACAATTTGTGATGCTCTTTTGTACTGCCACGCTTGTACAGTATCCTTTGTGCATGAAATGGAGCTCCTTTTTTCACCCAGGTACATGGTAGAGATACCCTCTTCATTCCTCTGAACTATTGTAAAATAAACAGGCTGTTTTTGAACACATTCCCTGTAAGTACCCCTTAGTGTGCATGGCTGCTCTGCTCTGTACAGTAGGAATGCTGCTTACTTACCATGGAAATCTTGCCTGCAGTAGTTGCTGTACTTAGGCTCCTATCTGGGTGTGCCGTGAGGAAGGTTGTGTTCCCTGCAGTTCTGTTTCCCACTGGGACAGCCACTGTTCTATAGGACCTTCAAGCCATGAAACGATAGAGAGCAAGTGCTTTTTCCAGAGCTGCTGTGGGGTGTTAGAGGGGCTGAGCTATGACCCAGCTTCCCACTCCCATCCCGGGGTGGCTGAAGAGCTGAGCCCGCTCCCCAAACCCAGGACACGGCGCAGGTGTGGGGGCAACACTGTCACACGTGGCCCTTCCTCCATCCTAGTCCCAGCCTCCTTGTAAGGACTTCCAACTGCCTCCAGACTTATAAACCCAACCAGTTTCACTTCTTTCCAACATCCCCCAGCACTGTCAGGGAGTGGATACTGCCCTGGGAGCAGGGCTGTCCGTGCAGCCTTCACACAATCCCTCTGTTCCTGCATCCCCAGCGTGGCTCTCCTGAAGCGTTGCCAGTGTTAATTTGGGTGTGCTTTTAAATTACTCTATCATGTAGTAGTTCATCAAGTGAAATCATTATACTTAATGAATTGTTTTATAAAGTCTGTTGCAAGTCAGTCCACTGTAGAAATATATAAAAATAGAGTTGGAATAACAACATACTATAAGTGGGAAATTTTCTTCATTTAAGTCATAACGTTCCAAACCTATCCTGAGGTTGACAATTTTTAAGCATCATACAATTCAGTGTTGAAACAGTTTTCAAATATCACTGTCCTTTATTAGAAAAGCAATTTGACTATATTTTCCAATACCACAAAGATAAATAAAATATTTGAGACATATTTTCAATTTAAAATTTTGTATGAACTGAATTTTCTCCTTTTGTGTACTAAATAATGCTAATGTCCAAAATCTTAAACAAAGGTTTTACATTTGCAGTGCAATATATATTTTCCTTTACTTATGGTTCCACTGGAATAATTATTGGAGATGAAATACTGAAATGTGAATAGAAATTGTGCTGTTTCTCTGACACTGCTGTGTCCCATTTGAGAAAGTTTGCTGTTGGTACAGTTACAGCCTTATGAATTTGACTTCCACTGGCAAATTAAATTATTTATATCCCAAGAAAGAGAAAATTCCTGCATGTAAAATCTTAGTGTAACAAATGGGAGATGCAAATAGTAATAATAGAGAGGGGTATTTCTGGATATTATCTCACTGGGATTTAAAAATGGTACTTTGTTAGTCTGCAAGCAGCACTTTTTAAATGAATGGTTGTAGATTTGTAAATATGTAATGTTTAAATTTTATTTACCTAAACCCAGTATGTTGGATGTTTGCTTTGGTTTGTAGTTCCTTTAAAATATGCAAAGTCAGTGTTCACAATGTTAAGGTTTTTTTCTGTCTCATCCAAAAAAAGAAGTTTTACAGTGAGTCAATAAAAAGCTTAAAATCTTTCTGGTTATTTTCATTAACATTTTATTAGATTGATTAGAGTGACAGAAATGTCTGCAGCTCTTAACCACATTGTGTGCTCCCATGAGGTGTTAACAATAAACCTCTCAGGTATGGTGATGTCACTGGTGTTTTTTCATCTTGTTTATGTAGAAGTCAGTGCTAACAAGAATTATTGCTGGTTAAATAATCTGTAGCTGTCAGAGATTAGTGTCTGGATGAAAACAAGCCCCCAGCATTCAACTCCTTGTTGTATTTGATTGCTTTAATCTTGATTAGAGGTAATGTGGTGTTCTAACCCCGAGTCTTGTTGCAGCAAGATGTAAACCCAGGTGCCATCACACTGGTACTGGTGGCACTTTACAGGAGTTTTAGGCACTGCATTGCAAGATCAGGTACAGTTCTGAAAGGAGCTCAGTGCAGTTTGAGCTGCAGCCTGTGTGTCCACACAGGGATTTTAAGCAGAGCAGTTCCATAAAGGCCCAGCCACATCAGTCTGATTCTCTTCCCACTGAAGTAAAATTCATTGATTTCAGGGAGTTTGAGCAGTTCACTGAGTAGTTTAGAGTGTGTTCCTGAAAATTTCCTATAATGAATAAATATTCTGTGTGAAAATCAGCTCCTCTACTTTGAGGGGATCAGCCATAGTGAAAATTTGATGCATCTAAATTGTATCAGCCTTTCCACAAGTGCCTAAATGTGTTTTATTTAATATTGGTCATTTCAGTATCTGTTCTTATCCTAAAGAAAAACAGTAGAGGCTGACACACCACTTAAGATTGATTTATATTTTCACATGTTAAAGATATCTTATTTTCAGTAAGATTGTTACAATTCTGGTTGCTTTTTTTCAGTAGAACTGCTACCTCAACCCCCTTTTGATGTTGCTGGATCCTCACACACATCTTGAAGTGTCCATATGTCACACAGATACTGGGCAGGATATTATCTTGTCCTCTAACATCACACTGATGATCAGAAACACAAAGTAAAGAGCAAACATGGTGAGCCCCAGTAGTTTGTTCATTTTCCATTTACAGACAGCAATAGAGAGAATCACAAACAGGAGCATGAGGAAGAGGAGAACAATTGCACAAAACAAACCATTGCTGCTGACTGCCACAGGACTGAGGCCATTGAAGACAGAAAAAAGGAACCAGGGAACTGGCAGGCTGCAAGGAAAGGAAAAGTAATTGAAATAAATGTTTTAAGGCAGTTCATTTTCTCTACCATAACTAAGCAATTATTCCAAACTGCTACAGGAAAAAAAAATACATGATTGTATTCAATATAGCTCAGCATAAATCTAAACTGGATGTTGTTCCTGTCAAAACTGCATTTGGATAATGCTTGCACTATCAATTCAATCCAAGACTAAAATGGTTTGAAAATAATACCTAAGTGCCTTGGTGTGCTATAACAAAGAAATGTCCTGATGGTTTAGGATGGGAGATGCAGGCACTGATACTGACCTTTGCCAGGAGCTGAATGTCTCTGAGTGACCAGATAACATTCCTGCCTGTAGAGCTTGGACATTAGCCAAAGGTCTCTTGCATTTTGAAAAACTGGTAATTTTGTGTTGATTCAGAATTGGGTGAAGGTAGTGGGCTGCATTATAACAGTGTTTCTTTCCTGGCTGGGTTTGGGTTGGGCTTCTTCAAAAGCAACTGGTTGCTCAGCTTCACTTAACTACAGCTAAAATGAAATTAACTGAGGTGTGTTTGGTTTCAAACCAAGGTAACTTTGTGTTTCAGAAGAAATGCTCCTCTTAGCATGGAGCTGGTACTCACCCAACAGTGATGTCAAAGATGTTACTGCCCACAGAACTGGACACAGCCATGTCCCCTAAGCCCTTCCGGGCCACGATGACACTGGTGATGAGGTCAGGGATGGATGTGCCTGCTGCCAGTATGGTTAACCCCATAATTTCCTCTGATATCCCAATTGTTTCACCAACCTAATCAACACAACGTTGGGTAGGGCTGTTAGCAGTGGAACATGGAGAATAATTGCTCTGTGCAGTGTTAGGGTTTGTGCTATATTTGAGTTAAAATATTCCAAGTCCATAAAAGTGGCAGAATTTTCCTGCTTTATGGAATTATAAAATTCCATTTTACTGTGTTGATTCTGGATTTTTTTCTGTAGTGTAGGAAATCTGAGCACAGTGATGCCAGCACTGAGCCAAGGTCAAGTTAGCTACAGCACAATTTTCCTGTCCTCAGCCCTCCTCTTCTGGATGTTGTCTACCTTTGGAAATTTAACATCAGCTGTGCAAGATCTAAGGGCCTTTGGAAATGACAGTCCTTGGATTTATGGCATGATCAGATCTACTGTGCATGTGCAATATATCACTTAATAGCGATGGGGGGGGCTGATCCTGCAAGATGGAAGTATTATTTCCCAGAATACCAGGTGAATGTTAACATGGGGGAGTGAAGATCATTTAGCAGCTTCCAGAATCAAAACCTATATTTTCCTAGAATTTTAATTAGGTAATGGATAATTATGTTCTGCACAGCAACATTCATCAATGAAAAGTCAGAATTAAGATAAATCTTGATGGTGCTTTTCCTTTCACTGATGCACAAACTCCCTTGGAAGCTTTCAGAAATGAATGAATCTTTGTCAAATAAAAAAAAAGGAAATCAAAAATTCCCTTTTGGGTTCTAACAAAACAAAGTTTCTACTGTTGTGATGGATGACTGCAGCTGTAATTCATCAGATAAAATGCCACAGTAACACTGTCCCCTCTCTCCGTCTGCTTGTTCTGAAAAGGGGATTTGCAGAGAGAACAAAACCTCTCACCTGGTGAGCCCACCACACCATGAGATAAGAGAATGCAGCAATCCAGAGGATGGATCCAAAAAATGTGATGACAAAGAATTTTTTTGACTCCTGTTGAAATCGAGTTTGAAAAGAAAAAAGAGAAGTTTCAGGTAAATTAATAGTCCCCATTGAAAACTATTCACCTGAAACACTTCACTGCAATTGATTGCTTTAACTTGGAACCTGGTCTTTGTTTGCTGTTTTTCAGCTTGATTAGGTGACCTGTAGTTGCTAGAATTTGTGGTTTATTAAATTAAGTCTCTGCAGTGACATTACACTGCAGCTGGGGCTCCTGTCCCACTCCCTGCAGCAGTAACAGCCCTTCAACTATGCAAAGACTCCAGACATGGAAAAATGGACCCAGGGACTCTTGCCCAGAGGAAATCTATGGCTCAGTTAATGACTCCAGTAGCAGGAAGATAGATTCTTACTGGGTTTCTGACGTCAGGCAGAGTGCTCCAGAGAGGAAAGACAATGGGAAAGAGGAAAAGGTAAATTGCTTGTTTTGTCCTTGATTCTGGCCATTCCAGAGACAAGGGCTCATTGTTTTCATCACCCTCTGTGCTGTCATCATCGCTGTCCTGGCTCTCAGAGCTGCTGTCGTCTGAGGTGTCACTGCTTGATGGGGGCTGTACCTCAGGATAAAAAATCAAAAAGCCAATATATTTTCACACTAATAAGCAACTGCAGTTACTCACTGTGGCCTCACCTGAGCAGAGCTCACATTTGTAACCTGCTGAAGGCAGACACAGCTCCTGTGGGACAGGACCCAGGCACAGCCCACCCCAGCACCTGTGTATTGTTAACTAATGGGCATCCATTAACTAGAAACACCTTTTAGACACAAATTAATTATTTTATGTCCTTAAAAAACCTTTTTTTCATTGGAACTGCTAAATAATGTCACCCAAAAGGGATTTGGGGAGCAAAACAGAAGAGTCTGCTGCTGAGCACAGGACAGCCAGGTGCTCTTATTTCCCCTTCCCCTGGGGAGATACCTCAAAAGAGTCATTTGAGGGGACAATACTATCCAGTAACTTGGTGTCATAATCTGGACCAAATTTGTGTTTGTGTTTCAGCCAGCATTTTAAACCACTACACACAGAGCCTGTGTATAGATGCCAGTGACATAGGTTGGGTCCTGTCCCAACAGCTCTGGAGCAGGGAGAAGGAAAGTACACGTGAAGATCAGCCTGGATAGCACGTAGTGCCTGTGCTCCTGATGTTGATACCTGTCCATCCTGTGGCACATCTGCCTCCTCTGTGTCTTTGCTGGGCTCAGAGTCACTGCCAGGAGTTACCTGGATGGTTCTTTCTGCTTTCTTTTCCTCTTCTGCAAAAGCAATAAGAAGAAATGCTGGTTTCAGTCATCCTGGATGAGCAGCAGAAGTGATACCAGGGCATCACCTTCCCTGTCACCAGCAGGAACTCTGAACTCCCTACCACAATGCTGGCATTTCAGGTTAAACCCCCTCAGATTGCTTAGGTTTGTTTTGTGTCCTCCCTGGCTGCTGGTGATTGTGTTTGGTAAATCTGGGCAGAATTGGGCCACCTGGAGGCCTTGGTGCTCCTCTCACCTTCCATGCAGAACTGCTGTAAGGGGCACATGTGTAACAGGGAAATGCTAATTACCTCATCAACAGCTGATGAGCATTTCTTGGGTCTCTTTTTAGATGCTGAAGGTTGTATTAAAACCATCCTTATAACCCAGAAAGGATGTAAAGCTTTGCTTCTCAGGTTTCCCCCCAGCTCCCCACTCCCTCCGTAGAGCAGGGCATTCTCCAGGGACCTGATACTCTTTAAGGCTTCTGAGAAATGACCAGGATGTGCTGCCAGACTTTAATCCCTGACCATTTGGTGGGTATTCAAAAGCAAATAGGAAAGTGCTGACACATAGAAGGAAATAACTGCAGTGTCCTGCTGTTCCTGCATTAACCTGCATAGCCAAGAGGAACACGGAAACCTCTGTGGGAACAGAGCAGAAATATGGATAACACAGAGCAGGGATGAGGGAGTGAAGTCAGTGTAGTGTTCTTAGCACCAAGAATTTACTTGGGTTTTAAACAGTGTTTTTCTCAAGTTTGGGGTCATTCACCTCTGTGAGGCTCAGTGTTGGGAGGTGCTCAGGTGCCTGTGTTGTGTGGAGCTGGGATCTTCCATACAGAAGTTTCTTGGTGTTCAAAAGCTCCAGCCTTTCTGGCAGCACAAATCTGTGTAGTAGCACAGGTCAGCTCTGACTCCAAAGCAGCCTTTGTGTCAGGGGTGACAGAGAAAACCCCAGAAAATATTAAACAGACAGAGGCCAGATCTGGGTTAAATGTTAATTAGAAATTATTCCCTGTGAGGGTGAAGAGGTCCCAGCACAGGGTGCTCAGAGAAGCTGTGGCTGGTCCTTCCCTGGAAGTGCCCAAGGCCAGGCTGGACAGGGCTTGGAGCAGCCTGGGACAGTGGAAGGTGTCCCTGCCCATGGCAGGGGGTGGTAAGGGATGGTCTCTAAGGTTCCTTCCAACCCAAACCATTATATGATTCTGTGATTCTATTAAAGGAAAAGTGCACAGATCCTTGGAATTGATATAGACATAGTGTAGATTATTACCTCTGGAGGAACCTTCTGCAAGTCTGTGAAGGTACTTTGTTTTAACAAACACCTCATTTGTAGGGTCTACCAAAGACCAGCAGCAGCCAAGTGCAGTCTGCAGTGCCCTGATTTCCCTCCTGCCCTGTTCCATGGCCATTTCAGTCCTTCCTTGTACTCTCCCTGCCCTGCCTCACTAACAGCTCCCCTGGGGATGGCTGCTCCTGCCCGCCTGCATCGATTGATTGCTGCTGCATTGTTACAGCAGCCATCTGCGCCCAGCAACAGCACAAAATCTGTGTTAGACCCCAGGGTTTCTTTGCCAGCTGGGAAGGTGAGGGCTTGCAGTGCAAAACAAGGCAAACAGTGCTGGCTCTTCCTGCACTCACCTGCCTGGGAACCTTGTCCTTCCAGGGTCTCAGCCTTGGCCTTGGCCATGTTGCTCAGGATGTCAACCCTGTCTTTAAATTTTGCTGTGGGTGAGAAGGACACCATCATCAGGGGCTGTCACTGCAAAGCCCCCCTGGACCTGCCTCCCCCACCACACACGTGCTCTTACCCCCTTCCTCCTGCAGCTGCTGCAGCCAGCACTGCCCAGGGGTTGTTCTGGCTGTGACCCCCCCAGATTTTGGTCATAGCTGTTGTATTTAACTGCTTAGTGCTACAGAAATTACAGCAGTAATTTGACATGGAACTATTTAAAGAGAATCTAGAGGAATGAGAAATCCTTTCCAGGTCAGTAATATAGATGATATCTGTACTTCATAGGAAAAAAATGCAAAAAGAACAGAGGGGGGAGTTTTGGTGCAGTATCATCTTGTTCCCAGGGATTATTGATTTTTTTTTTTCCTAGGCTAGATTATGAGCAAACTAAAAATGACACCTTCCTCCTGCCATGTGACTGTTGAAGAGGCTTTAGGGTGCTGCTTTCAGGGACCTGATGAGAATGGAAAATAAACACTTTTTATGTTCCAGTTCCCTGGAAAATTATTGCTTTTTCTAAGTATACACAAGTGTCTCCTGCTGGAGCTGATCTAAATTCTTGGTATCCAAGTTAAACATGGTCCAGGCTGTCTGAGAGTTGATCTTCACCAGCACAGATCTGGTGCTCTATTTCTGGGACTGCTGAGGGCTTCTTCCACTGTAAACCAAGCTCTGCTTTATTCAACTGAGCTGCATTTTTACTGGTTTACAGCAAACTGTGAAACTGTGCATCTCTGTAGTTGTTTTTTGCTCAAATGTCTTACTGCTGACTCTCAGTGAAAGTGAACAAGGATGAGTTCAAAGAAAAGCTCCATTTTGTGCTAATCTATGTCCTCTGTTGAGTTGCACACCGAATGCTGAGGGTCACTGGGTCTGCACATGGGCAGTAGCCACAAGGAATTGGCCAATGCTGTGTTTGGCTCGTGTGCAGGGCTGTAAATTAATTTCCTCTGAAAGATTTATCACACTGATTTAATCTACTGTGTTGTTGCCTACGCACCCAGAAGGTGCTGTTGTCATATGCCTCAAGGGCAGGGCCCTGCCACTTTATTAATCACAGTGACATTGAGATAATAGAAATAGCAGGTCCAGCCATGTGGGCAGAACTGTTCTTCTGAGCTGGACCTTGTGAAAACCAGTAAATTCTGCTGTATGTCCAATAACTGGACCCAGCTCAGACATTAAGACCTCAGGGAACGAGTCCTGCTCCAGTGAGATTCCAGCTACTGTTTGATAGAAACATCTTTCACCAGCTGGAATTTCCACTGAGAACTGGAATGGTTGGACTGAGATGAAATGATCATGGAGTACCAGAATGGTTTGGGTTGGAAGGGACTTTAATCCCATCCCATTCCAACCCTGCTATGGGCAGGGACACCTTCCACTATCTCAGGCTGCTCCAAGCCCTGTCCAACCTGGTCTTGCACACTTCCAGGGATCCAGGGGCAGTCACAGCTTCTCTGGGCACCCTGTGCCAGGGCCTCACCACCCTCACAGGTAAGAATTTCTAATCTAAATGATAATTTCTTCTCCTTTGAAAAGCTGACTGGACTGACAAGAGCCTGATTCTTCCATGCTCTTTATCAATACTGCAGTTCACTGGAGGGATGTGAACTGTTGGCTTCCTTCCCCCTGTGCTCATGCACAAGCACATCCCTCAATGCAGGGGTGACCTTTTGCTCCCAGTCTCCTCTAAGCACTGGGCAATGCATCCTTCTGTTTGGCTTTTCCCTGAAGCTGCTGCAGAAGCTGCTGTCAACAGGGTCAGGGCGGTCAGGCTCAGCCTGAGATTATGGAAATTCAAGCTCCTGGCTCGCTGCCCTGCCAGGCCACAGGCTGGGAGCGCTGAGTGGAGCCCAGGAGCATCTCTGTCAGGATAAACAGATTAGGCCCAGGCCACTGTCCAGCTCTCATGAGATCAGCCTCGTTTAAAAGGGTGGTAATTCCTCTGGCACACAATTCCTGCAGGAGGGGCTGAGATCTGAGGCAGAGCTGGCTCTAAGCTGGCCAGATCTGCAGGTCAGCACAGGGAGGAAGGATGTCCATGGGCTCAGCCCAGGCTGTGCTGGATCAGCTGTGCAGGGCAGTGTCCCTCTCAGTCCCCTGGGGCATTCACTGCTGGCAGCTCTGTCCCCAGGGCTGAGAACCTGTCACACAGTGGCCCTGAGAGGCTCTCCAGGAGAATTCTTGTCCTATGAATTGGCAGCATCCAGGATGGACTTCAGGTGGCAGCTGAGCTTCTACCTTGAATTTGGCTCTTACATTTAATTCATTCTTTGGCTCTAATATTCAATCTAACAGGAATGACAACACAATCAGCAGGGAGGATTTTTTTTCTTTACAATTTGGCATGAACCTGAAGGATTTGGAGATTCTGATGTATAAAAGCAGAAGTACAAAAAAAGACTTGTGATTCCTTTTGCCCCTCTGTATCATGATTCTCTTACAACAAATGATGGAATGCTAATGAAGCAAGGAGAGGCTGTAGCTGCCTTCTGCCCTTTCCAGCCTGCAGTAGTGCCCACTGCTCTGGTCTAATTTCCAAAATCATTACTTTGTTAACTGGGGCATAGTGAGGGCAGGCAGCTCTGACAACCTTTCTGCTGGAGCCTTTTGCTTCATTCAAAAAAAAAAAAAAAAGTAGGCTTCTGCTTTGTTCCCTGTCTGACTAGAGTTTAAAGAGTCTGGTGGTAAGGCTGGAGGTTCAGAAATGAGAGAGTTCCTCAGCATTTCCAAAATCCTCCCTCCCTTTAATTCCCCAACAGTTCCCTCTGGTGTCTAATAGGATGATCTGGAAAAGATCTCATGCTCTTCTTCTACTCACTTTCACAAGAAGTGGGGAAAAGGACAAAAGAACAAACTTGCTAGAAATTCCTAATTTTAAAAAAAAAGGCACATTGAAGGTAAAAAGTTCTATCAAAAATATAATTCAGGATGCCATGTAAATATTAGAACTTCTAAAGTAAACAAGTAGTCTCCCTGAGACAAAGACTTAAGTAATGATACTTTCCTAATACAAAAAGAAAAAAACTCACATTCTGAATTTAATGCACTCTTCAAAAGAGAAATTTTGTTTCACACAAGGGCTGTTGCAGATCTGTGTTTCACACTTTTGCATTTCCAAGACCTCTGCCCCTGAAATCTGGGTTTGGAGAGCCAGTGCTGGCAGCTTTTCTATGTTTTGGACCTTGCTGCCCTGAAACCATTTCTGTGCTGCCCCATTAAAAAGTGAGGGCAGCCGAAAGAAGAAATCCTATGGAATCCTGATTGCAGCAGGTTCAGTGAGGATCTGCTGAGCAACTGTTAGCAACCTTTTCCTTCTGTCGAGTGTTCAGTGCTACAGGCCTTGGCAAGAAGGAACAAGGGCCCTTGGGGAAAGATAAATTGCTTTGGGATCATCTTTTATGTGTCAGTCTAATTACAGAAATGTGCCTGGTACAGACAGTGCTGGACACGCTGCAAAGGGAAGGATGGTGTTGGTAATCCATGGGAAGCAGGCACAGCTGTCCCCAGTGTCACACAGGGCTGCAGGGCTGTTAATACAGGACTAGGAACTGTTAACACATCAGAACACAAGTCCTCATATGCCTTGGCAGCTTCAACTCCTTTTCCAGATCCTTCCTTGGGATGTCATTCCATCTCTTTGGCCAAGCTCCTCAAGCCACTTAGGTTTCTCAGTTTATGCATAAATTCCTTTTCTCCAGACTCTCTTTTCTTCAGGTAGGAATTTATCAGATTAAGGAGTATCTTCTACAAGGCACACAAGATTTGGCACCTGGGCTCTTTGATTTTTTTGAGTGCTGAGCTGTTGTAATATCAGTAATTTATTGTTATATTTTATAAGGCGGCATTTCTTTTCTCACAGCCTTGAGTGGAGTGGGAACATATCTGAGACAGAGATTTTGCCATTAATTCAGTGGCATTTTATTTTCTAGACCCAAGTAAAGGGTCTAGGAAATAAAAACCTTCAGGAGAGGCTGTTGCAGCCTGTGCCTGCACGGTGCCTGCGGTTTCAGACCCAGATACACACGGTCACACTCCCATCTAGTGGCTGCCGCACACACGCAGAACTCGCACCCTGCCGGACCGCCGGCAGAGGCTTAGGTTGGGTATCGGGAACAATTTCTGCACCCAAAGGGTTCTCAAACCCTGGCACAGAGAGACACCGTCCCCAGAGGGATTTAAAGGATCTGTAGATGGGGCACTTGGGGACACGTGGCCTTGGCAGTGCTGGGGGAACAGTCAGACTTGATGATCTTAAAGGTCTTTTTCAGCCTAAATGAGTCCATGATTCTATGTAATGAGTGGGAAGTTCTCTTTGAGAGAAGATCCAGACTGGTCCCCCAGTTCTGTATTTTCCATATTCACAAGGCCTGGGAACAGCAGCCTCTTCAGCAAGGACTTGCAACTGCATGGAAAGCTCCCAGCAGCCTATTCTGGGCTGAACTGGCTGGGGCTCTCCTTGGCCTGGGCTGCCAACCTCAGCCCCCCACAACTCTCCTGCTGAAGGGTCCCAGAGTTTCACCAGGGAACCAGCCTGGACCAGAAAGCCAAGATTGTGGTGACCTGGGATGGGCAGATACTGCACAGAGACGTTCAGAGGTGTGGGAAGGGTGAGAAGGTGTTGTGAGGTCTCTCAGTGGCAGCAGCCCCTCAATTCTGGCACTTTCTGATGCTCAAGGCAATGACACATCCTCTTGGAAGGTTTTGGGTCTATTCTGGTGCTGTTGATACAACCTTTTGGAGGCACAGGTGGCAAGGAGCAAACCCTGATGAGTCTGGCTCTTGTTAGGCTACTGTTCATAACACATTGGGTACTTTCACTGGAATCTGTCAAAGCAGACACTGATCTGCCCTGCCATCCTCCTCCAACCTCCTTTGTTCCTTCGATCAGTTTGTGCAGCTGGGATTCTGATCTGGAGAGTCCTCTTTGTAACCTCTGTGAGGGACACGAGAGGTGTTGATCTGCTTAGCTTCAGTCTCTCTTTCAATGGGCAGCAGATAATCTCTTTAGAACAAGTAGGGCAGTGGACGGGTGGGGCATGAGCTGAGCTAGGAAGGAAAATCTTAAAAACATCTTTTCTTAATGTTTCACTATTTTCCCGAAAAGGTACCTCCACAGTGTGATTGGATTAAAGTTAATATAAAGAAACGTTAAAAGGCTGTGTACAAAGACCCTGGTCTGTCAGGAGATGAGGCTTCTCTGCACCCTGGGCAGTTTAAAAGAGGTCTTGGACCTGAGCTGGTCCTTCCCTGGACCTGGAGAGGCCCATTGCCTGCACAGGGCTGTGGGCACACTTTGCCATAGCAGTGATGATGCCATGGTGCAGGTGGGCTTTTAGAGGTGTCAGCCTGAATCACAGAGAATTAGCCTCACCATCATGATTAGAATCTCAGCTGGGCTTTTAACCACTGTCAAAAGTATAATTCTTCAAGGGTTTTTAACTCTTTGTGCTGCTGTTTCAGGGCTGGGATGAGGTCTGAGCTAAGAGGAAGATGGGATGTGCTATGGAATGGAGGAAGCTGGTAACTCACGTTTGCTGTCCCTGCAGTCAGAGACACAGCAGGGATTGGGATGTCACCACTTCCAGGGAACTCCAGCAGCAGCAGCTGCCACCACAGCAGTAACCAGCTTGGCACAGGAAAAGTAGATATGGCAGGACCAAAACATGAAGTGCTTGTCATTGCCAGCTACATGATCAGAACGGGCACATCCCACTGTCACAGAGCTCCCCTCACTTGACACCATCTGTGATACTCAGCTGCGCCCCACAGGTGAGTTGCTGACCCCAAAATACTGATTGTATTCCCAGTGAAACCACTCAGGGCTGTGAACCCAAGGCCCTCTGGTGTGGAGCATCCACTCACCTTCTGCCAGGGGGTCCAGGGTGTGGATCATGAGCTGGACGATGGTGCTGCGCATCTGGGAGTTGTGCAGAGAGGCCGAGCTGCTGCCCCGCTGCAGGGCTGCTCCAGGCTGTGGGAAGGCACAAAGCCAGTCAGTTCCAGCTTCTTTGTCCTCTACATCAGGCAAGGCCTCTCCAGGCCACAGGGCAGCAATTCAACAGCAGCAGAGGAATCAGCTGTTCAGTGTTTGCTATGGGAAAGGACAGACCCCACCAGCCTCTGCTGTGAGAGCCCAGGAAGAAATTTGGTCACAAAACCAGGTAAGAAGAGTCACTTTCTGAATTTCTATATGCCTGTTTTATAGCAGAGAATGAGTAGCACTCTTCTAGTTAAATCCACCTGGGAAGCCTGAGCTGTCTCTTAGATTTTATAAAAATTTCTTTAAGGACAGGACTCAGCCAGGTGTCCTCTTAAGCAAACTGTGGCCATTGTGCCTGATGTGATACAGACTTTGGCCCAGGCTTCTTGGCACAGGAGATGACACCTTTATGTATGACCTACATGGGGAGAGATTCAAAATACCATGACTTCAGATCCCTGTAAAGTTGCTTAGACCTACCTACAGCTTCCTCACATCTGGTGGCTTCATTGTTCCATCGTCTACAACTGCCTCAGTGCTTGTCCGCAAGCAACGAAGAACAGAAGTGACCAGTCACCTCTGCTGCTTCAGGATCTAATGATCCTTCAGGCTGCTGCTTCTGGGGAAGTGGCACAGTGACACAAAGGTCTGTGGATGCTACTGAAAGAGCCACAGCCATGAACCTCTTTAAAACCATTGGCTTCTGAGAAAAACAAGATTCTACCTTCAGCCTCCCAGTGAGGATGCAGGCACCTGGGGGCAGACTCACAACTGATTCCTGTAGCTGCAGACAGAATTTCCTCCAACATCTCTCAGTTGCAGGAGGCTGGGACAGAGGCCTTTTCCCCCCTGTTTACCAGCATTGCCTAATCTTATTCTCAGACCAAGAATGTGTTCCTGCAAGTGTTCTTTCTGGAACTTCTTTACAACAACCAAGCAAAATCCCACACACATCCTTGAAAGCAGCTAAGAGACATTTAGTAATTGCACAGGTAGAACTCCCTTTTAGTGATGTTCTCTGATTTCTTAGACTCTCTCTAGTTTGCATTTCCCCCATTTTAAAACACTAATCATTGACCAGTACCTGTATTCTGAGGTTTGAATATCTGCTTTGTGAAGGAGATGCAGTTTTACTTTGTGGTTTACACTAGAAAGTTATTTCCAGCTTGCCCTCTGAACTCTAAGGACACCAACCTTCTGCATATGCTCTGCTGATGCTGCCTGCACAGCATTTAGCTTCTTTTTCAGCTCCTGCTTCACCCATTGCTCTAGGAACACGTTCTGTTTCATGGTGAACACATATGTGGCATAGGCAGTCAGTAAAAGGAGGCTTTCCCACCAATCAATGACACTGTCTAGGAAAAACAGGATGAGCATCAGTAAGTCTACAATGTAGAATGAGATGTCTCTAAATAAGGGCCACCATGTCAGGTGGAGTATCTGCCTTGAGAAGAGGGCACAGGTGCCAATGACAAAGAGGATATTAAACACTGCTGAGCCCACAATGGTACCGATGCCGACATTGCTGTGTGAGATGAAGACACCTATGAGGGACGTGAAGAGTTCTGGTGCTGATCCACCTGCTGCCATGAAGGTGGCTCCAGCCACATCTTCAGAGATCTGTAGCTTCTCAGTGATCACTCCCAAAGCAGGGACAAAATACTCATCACACACTATGGCCAAGGCCACAAATACATACATCATGCCAAAGATGTGAAGTACAACCCACCCTTGCCTGCGTTCTTCCACACTGAACAGGTCCTGGGGATATTCTCCTTTGGATTCATAGGGTGGTTTTTCATCTGGGGAGCTTTCACTGGCATTTTCTTGCTGTGGTGTTGTACCCACTGACGTGGTGATGGGCACAGCTGGCTCAGGATCCACATAGATACAGTGCCTTATTTTGGGTGCTGTGGCATTGCCTCTTAGAGAAGTCTTGTTGCTGGGGAGGTCCCTGGAGATCACTCTGACAGGGTCTGTGGGTTGGGGGGCTCTGTGTGATGCTGGAAGGGCAGAAGGACTAAACTGGAGCTGGTAGAAAGAGAGGAGCAACACTATGGCAAGCAGGAACAGGATTCGGTTCCTCCGTAGCCGCCTCCTCCGTGGTAAATGCATTTCCTAAAGCTTCAAAACCCAGAGCCGTGTCCAGAAGCCACTGAAGACTTCACTTGGTCAGCAGTTTGATGATCTGGAGCATCAGGATTGGAACTGCACAGCACAATATGGGGAACCCTGCAAAAGAAAATCTGGTGTGAAAAACAAAGTACTGCAACTTTCCCCCATTTGGGGAGCAACACTTCACTGACTGCTTGTCTATTTTTCAATAAAAAGAAATTGACTTAAATGAGTAAAGAGAGATATAGATCCAGGTTACAGTCTATTTTTTTAATATTATTGTAAGCTATGCTTATTAATAATCAAATGTCTGGCTTAGAGAGGAGCTGGCTGAGGCAGTCCAGTACAAGCTGAATTCTGATTCCGCCAAATGCCCATACCCAGGAGCTGTTAAGGACTGCATTTACCAGAGTCCAGTTGTTATTCTGTAATTTTATCAAGTGCGTCAGTGGTTGTGCAGGAGGAGTGGATATGGCTCCTGTCAAGGAAACAACTTTAAATTGTTAGAAATTATGCTCTGAAGACAAGACCAAGATGGTCAAACCTCCCTCCTAAACCAACTTATTCACCAAAATAACCTCAGGAGGATGGAAACTGGTTTAGAGTTCCCAGTGATGCTGGTCTGTGGCTTTCCAGCCTTTCACTCCCCAAGAAACCATCCAAGGAAGGGTGAGGTTTTTCCTTCAGTTTGAGCAGAGGGTGAAGAAAACATGGTTCTAGTAAAACTGGGGGTGCTGAGCAGCCATTTGTTTCTATGACTACATCTTTTCAGGGCTTTCTGTAGGAATCAGAACTGGCAAAGTGGAATTCTAATCATACCTTTTATTAGGGGTAATTAGCATATCTTGCATAATTATGTGAACAACATTTAGAATGGAAGAGAAATTGTAAATGTCAGAGTGACAGTGCCTGCAGCTGTGACAGCACAAGGACAGGGATTTGGGGCTGGACAGAATTTACCCTTCAGCACTTCTTGAATGTTTTACCTTCTTCATGGATTATTTTTTTGCCCAGAGTGGGCATGTTACATTATTCTCTAACAGTGAATTATTCTTCAGATGTGAATCATAGTTTTCTAAACCACTCTCAGATAAGCTCTTCATGCAAGTTATCACACATTTACCCTCTTGCATAACACCCAGGGAAGTTATCAGACTAAATTTCTTGCAAAACAGGCAATGTTAATTTAAATAGTTGGGAGGATCACTAAGGCAACAGTAAGAGAGGGTCATGGGAGTCCCTAGATAAATAGATGATACAAGGTTTGCTTCTCATACATAAAAAGAAAATAAACATACATGTGGCAGAACTGCACAAGAGGTATAACAAATTGCATGTTATGAGAAAATAACTCTCCCTAATAAAGACAGCAGAGTTAAAAGAATGGCACAGAGAGAACACACTTATGCACACACTCCTATTTAAACACTGGTTTTACTTCTCCTCTCCAAAATTAACTGCTTAAAAGACTTTTTTTTTTTTTGCGAGGAGAAAGACACCCAAAGCTAAGACCAGTTCTAAGAGCTTTCCAGCCTTTCCCAGTTCCTGACCAGAGGAATTGTTTCTCTAGTCTTGTAAATTTAGGTTAACTCCTGATAAACTCCTTTTCTCACCTCCTGTCTCACGAGATCCAAAGCAATCAAACAAACCTCCCCAGCCTACCTTCCAAAGGTCTGTCCAGGAGAAGGGGGAGTTCCAGGGGTTGGGTGTAGTGCTGGAAGATTCTTTGGTACTTAACAGCCAGAGGGAAATGATGTTGCAGAGAAAGGCGGGTGAAAATTATCCCATTTTCAGGATGTCTCCTCTGCTGACAGAGTCCTAAAACAAGAGAGGGTCAGGTGTGAAGGACATGTTAGTGGAGGAATTCCCAATCCAGTTTAATACCCACAGCCCCTAAGAAGATTAAATAGTATTGTAAAGATTTGGGTCTATCTCTGAAGCCAGTACCTTTGTCTGCTACCATAGGTTTTTCCCATTGTGAGTGCAAGTGATTATCCCCTTCACAAACTCCTGGACTGAAGCACCAGCCATGGACACGGATCAGCCTCATGGCACTGGCGAAGGGTAAATCACATTTATAAACACTTTTAAATACGACACATGGAGCTGCATTTTGAGGCATCTCCCATGGCTGACAGGCTAGATGCCACACAAGCAGCTCTGCTGATCTTTGCCACAGTATGTGTCTACTTTGCAATACCAAAGGGAGGTTTAAAACTCCTTGACTCTTGGAAAAATCCCCCAGGGCCTGTGCCAGGAGCACTGAGGCAGAGGGAGGGAGCAGGTACCTGGGGATGGTGCCTGTGACGTTTCTGGGACACTGATACGGTGCAGCTCCACAGGGGAAGAAATAACATCTCTGGCCAAGGATTTAACAATCACATCTAATCAATTTATTGATCTAATCTAGATTTTAATGATCTAATCTAGATATATCACAGGGGGGTTAGAAAATTATTATTTGATTTTGGATCCTTCATGCCAAGGACATCGAAGTGCTAGAGTGTGTCCAGGGAAGGGAATGGAGCTGGGAAGGGGCTGGAGCCCCTGGAACAGCTGAGGGAGCTGGAAAGGGGCTCAGCCTGGAGAAAAGGAGGCTCAGGGGGAATTTCTGGCTCTGCACAGCTCCCTGCCAGGAGGGAACAGCTGGGGGGATCGGGCTCTGCTCCCAGGGAACAGGGACAGGAGGAGAGGGAACAGCCTCAAGGTTGCACATGGGGAGATTTAGGTTGGATATTGGGGAAAATTTCTCTACTGAAAGGCTTGTTCATCATTGGAACAGGCTGCCCAGGGCAGTGGTGGAGTCCCCACCCCTGGAGGGATTTAAAAGCTGTGTGGATGTGGCACCTGGGGACGTGGCTTATGGTGGCCTTGGCAGGGCTGGGGGAATAGTGGGACTTCATGGTCTTAGAGGACTTTCCCAGCTAAACTATTCTGTGAATCTCTGATAATTTTAAACCGAACTGTTGTCTGAACACACAATTTCAGGAGTACATCCCAGTTTTGCACTGGAGTTTACTGCCTCCCACGTACAGAACCGGGAGAAGGAGGTGCAGTGCCCAGCCGGGATGCTTATCCATAAACCCTTCTCCACACGTAGCGATCATTTGTGGCCATGTTTTCCGTGGGCACGCCATTCCCTCAGCACGGACATCCCACATTCCCGCGGCCCGCGCGGTGTCAGCCCTCACGGGCTGCCTGAGGCGCGGCCCTTCCCGCCCGGCTCGCGCCTTCCGGGGGGGGCGCTTTCCGTGCCGGACGCATGGCGGCGCGGCGGGCCGCGGTGTGCAGCAGCATTTCCCTTCCGCCGCCCTGCTCCGTGCCCGCCGCCGCCGCTCGGCCCGGGCCGTCCCAGGAGCGCTCCGGGAACAGCCCCGCTGAGGGCGAAGGCTTGTAGGGAGGGCTGGATCCCTGCCCGACCGCCCTCGGAGCGGCAGGGCTGCGCCTTTTCCCCAGCGAGGCTCAGCTGCTACTGTCTCCAGGCCTTGCGCTGCACCCGGCTGGAAATGCTGTGTGGGGTTCAGCGTGCATTCACTTAATCTGTGCTCAGTCCCACGTTTTGAGGGGGAAGAGGGTAATTAATTGTCTCTTCTCTTTGGGGTCAGCGTGAGGGGGCGAGACGCGTGGCTCCAGGAGTGCAGCTTTGATAATGATTTAATGTGAATTTCCGTCCCGCTGCAGGCAGGTGATCCCGGCTGAGCCCGCCCGTGAGGGCGGCGGAGGAGCAGCTCAGCATGCCCACCGTGGTGGTGATGGACGTGTCGCTGTCCATGACGCGGCCGGTGTCGGTGGAGGGCTCCGAGGAGTACCAGCGCAAGCACCTGGCTGCCCACGGGCTCACCATGCTCTTCGAGCACATGGCCACCAACTACAAGCTGGAGTTCACGGCCTTGGTGGTGTTTTCATCCCTCTGGGAGCTGATGGTGCCTTTCACGAGAGACTACAACACGCTCCAGGTAGGGGGTGTGAACACTAAAGCAATAAACCGTGGACATTTAAAAAAAATC